GAACTCAGTCTGTTTGCCGCGGGGGACCAGTTGCACCCTCCTAAGGACGGCCCTGGGTACTACCAGGCATGTCAGCCCCAAAACAGACCACCATAATCACACATATAAAATAATGTAATAAATATGTAGGCTAATATAGCATATGTATGTAAAATATAATAGAGCCTAATACATAAAAGTGTTGTGCTTTAAGATTCACATCCTAATAACTTCCTGCTCACTATTAAGATTGCATTCGTTATGTATCGTTATGTTATGCTTATTATGCGAGGGATAATGAGATAAACAGAGGATACTTTAGTTCACAACCATTCATCACTGGCCAAGCAGTCCTTGCACACTATGATATACAGTATTGACTTGGGATACCTGGTACGAAGTGCATAATTTTAAAACAGACATACTTTTGTGAAGCCACTTTGAGAGCTGCATGCTTCATGAGAACAGGTAAAACGTTCTAAAGTTATAGTTATATATAGTCATAGTTGTTCACTGTGAAAATTTGTTCCATATTATTATTTCTCGTATATCACTCTTGAATTGTTTTGTCCAACCCATATTACAGATCTATTAAAGATTGTGTTTTTTACATTGTCATATTTCGAGTTAATAGAAATAATTCGTTGCAGTTCTTACCTGTAAAAATACGAAACGAGAAGCAAGCGTGCGTTGTTATATCCACAAGAGACCACGTAATAAAACAATGAAATCAAAACCCTTGTAGGGTCATTCCCAAGGCAGGAATAATTTCTCCTGAAGGGAAGCTTTGACACACATCACTATACAGCGCACATGATCTGTACAGGTTGCGTCCAGCCAGACGTCTGAACTTTAGGAACACGATGGTGTTTTTACTGAATGGCAGGAGCGCAACACCTCCAGAGTTTAAGGAAGGAGGAGCAAAACTCCTCAGGCTTGACACAACTCTCCGTCACCGGACTGTGGTATATACCATACTAGAGTATGCAGTGTACACTACTGTGCTGTATGCAGTAGGCTA